GGGGGGGCTGCAGGGACGGACCCTTTGGCTGTGCCGCGCTCCTGCCGCTCGCTCGGGGCTCCTCAAGTGCCATCTGGCAGCTCTCCCAGCACCATCCGTGGCTCCTGTGCTGCTGCCACAGCCCCTGCCCTCAGCCAGGGATCCCAGACCGTCAGCCCCAGCAGCTCCAGTGGCTGGGAAGGGCCAAGGGGGCTGGAGATGCCTGTGCCCACACCAGGACAGCGCCGTCCATCCCGTTGCTGCTGGGCAAGAAGGGAGTTGCACCTCAGGGTCACTGTCCTGGCTGCAGCCCCTTGAGTACCAAGGGGGTCCCCAGCACCAGGGATGGGGTTTGACACCAGGGATGGGGTTTGACACTGGGCCATCTCCTGCACATGTGTGTCTCCTGCTTTGGGGGGCTGCAGTGTGGGCACCAATTGGAGAGCGGTGGCCAAACCTGCCCACACTCCACTCCCCTCTGTGGCTGCAGCAGCTGCTTGCCATGGCCAGGGGTGCCCGGTACTTTTGGAGGAGACCAGGAGATGTCCCCTTCCCCAAAGGCAGTGGCCCCACTGGGAAAGCCATGACTGCTCCTGCTACACTGAGGTGGCAGGCCCTGGCAGGCTCCCAGATGCTGAGGTGGGCACCCAGGTGCCCTGGGCTTCGAGGAGCTCTCACCAGTGGCTCCACAGTGGTGGAGGGTGGTCGGGAATCAGCACAGCATGGGGAGCACTGACTGCTGCGTTTTTGGGATATGTCAGACACCCACTGCTGCTCCCTGCCCCTCGTTAGACCAACACCGAGTTTCTCCTCTCGTGGCAGCCCCAGAGAGGTTGGAATATTTGAGCTGCTCATTCCTGTTTCCCTGTCATCAGCACCTCTTCCCTACCCATGGGACCCCTGCCCAGCCCACCCTTCCACACAGGGATGTTGGAGACAGGTCTCCTCTCCGGGCCAGGGTCCCACAGAGACTGTTTTCCACCATCTCTGACCAGTGGAAATCCTCAGTGCTCCCGGTTAACCTGCAGGCAGCAATGGGGGCTGGGCCAGCAGGCCCCTCTGTGGGGTGCAGGGACAGGCACTGGTTTGAGCTGGGGCAGGCTTGGAGCATGGGGACTGCCAGGGGCCCTGGGGGAGTCCAGGGGAACGGCTGCTGCCCCCTCCTCATCCTCATCCTCCCCCAGAACAGAAGAGCACAGGCAGGAGAGGATGTAACAAAAATAGCGTCTCTGTGGAATTTATTGAATTCTCCTTAAATACAGCCACGGCTCCCCTCGCCACCTCCACACCCGGGCTCCCCGCCTCCAACGGAATGGTTAAAAATAGAAAAGCTGGTGCTACCCAAACCCTGCCGTAGGAGGGAGGGAGGAGAGGTGGGCAGGGGGTCAGTGCTGGGGCGGTGCCCCCGCGCTCCGGGCTCACAGGAACCAGAAGCATTTGCGCCGGGATTTCTTCACGTCCAGCTTCACTGGCAGCTTCGGCGCCGGCGAAAGCTCCTGCCCGGACAGTGAGGAGGTGCCCGCCGCCCCCATGGCCGTCGGGGGGGGGGGCTCGGCCCGGCGTTGCCCTCGATGTGGCTCAGCACCCGCTGGAAGCGGCCCTCCTGCTGCCGGAAATCGTGCTCCACGCTGCGGCCACGGGGACGGCGTCAGAGGGGTCGCCTGCCCTGGCACCCCCAGCTGCCACGGTCCCCCCACCCACCACGGCCCCCCCGGCGTGCAACAGCCCCCCATTCGCCTCAGAGCTGTGCCCCACTGCCCACCCGCCCCTGGCACCCCGAACACGGCCCTTGGGGAGCTCAGCGTCCCCCAACACAGCCCTTGGGGAGCTCAGATCTCCCCAAAAGTCCCCAGGGAACTCATGTCCCCCAGAGCTGAGCCCCCTGGCACTTCTGGGGCAGTGCAGGGGTGTGGCCGGACTTCCCGGGGTCACTGTGCACCCCTGTGAGGGGATGTCCTGCTGCACGTGCCCTCAGACAGCCCCTGCCCGCCACACTCACCCCTGTGGGCTGCGAGGGGGGGTCTGGGCCCAGATCCCTCCCAAACAGCCACCCCATCCTTCCTGCAGCCACGGGGTCCGTGCCCGGCGTGTGGCACCTCATGGCTGTGCCAGAGCACCCCGGGCACCTTCTGCCAGAGGGACAGACCTGCATCAGGGGGGTCTTTTGGGGTGGATCCCCCTCAGCTGCCCACCTGCCACCATCCTGCTCCTCCATCCTCTGTATCCAGCCCGGTGCTGATGTGGGGGGTCGAGCTTGGGTCTGTGGGACCCCCGTTAGCAATGAGTCCCCTGGAGGGGGGTTGCATGTCCCCGGGGCCAGGGCCCAGGGCAGATTCGATGTCAGGAGGTGGCACGAGCACGCAAGGGCTCTGCTGCTGCTTGTCACACGGCTGTCATGGCAGGAATTAGGGTGCCCCAGGTCTGGGGGGGTGAGGGGGGCCTGCGCCCCCCACCACAGCCCTCAGGTTTCCTTGCAGTTCTGGAGCCCTCAGTGTCCCCACAGCCCCCACTGTCCCTGGCTGTGCCCCCCAGCCCTGGCTGTCCTCACAGCCCCCGGCATCACCACAGCTCCCAGTGTTTCTGCAGGCCTTGATACCCCTCCAGCCTTCTCTGTCTCTGCAGCCCCTGCTGTCCCCAGAGCCCCCGGTGTCCCCAGAGCCCCCGGTGTCCCCGCAGCACCCCGTGGTGCAGTCTGGCTGCTGGCAGCCACGTGCCACGATGTTCCCTCACAGGGAAAACACGTCAGTCTCCTCACACCAGCCACGTCCCATCGGATCAACGAGGTGCCGCGGCGTGTGCCCGGGAACACACGTGGCACAGCACACGGGGAGCGCCCCAGGAGCCCCCCTGGCACTCTGACACCTCCCGTCACCTCCTGTCACCTCCCCTGGTGAGGACACCGAGGGTCCCCAGCCATTCCCAGCAAAAAATGGCAAGGGGCGCCGGCGGCCCCAGAGCAGGGGGCAGCACGGGGAGGGACCTTGGCTGCCCAGCACTGACACAGGAAAGGGTCAGCACCGCTGGGGGGGTGCTCGGCTGGTGCATTGCCCTGAGGTGGGACAGGGACAGGCAGATCTGACCCCGCCACAGGCCATCCCTGGGGTCTGGTGCTGGGGGTGCTCCCCCTACTCCCCCACCCCGTGTCCCACCGGAGCCTCTCCTCATCCCACGGGAGCAGCAAAGCCCACGGTGAGCCCCCAGCGGGAGCCTGGCCATTCCAGGGATCCACCTCCCCCATGTGTGACATCTGTGGCACTGCCATGCCACGTGCAGACAGGCTCGTCAGGCCCAATTAGCGCTGAAGTCCCCCACGAGCTGCAGCAGGGGAGTGCGGGAAACGTGGGGAGAGCAAGAACGCTGAGGCAGCACCGCTGTGCACGGGGGCACGAGGGGTCTGGAGACAGGCACCCCCAGCCCTGGGGGGCACTGGGAAGGGGCACAGTGCTCACAAAGCACAGCAGGGCTGTGGCACACTCGTGCACTGCGGAGCACGGCTTGGGAGCAGCTCCGTGCACCACGTCCCACCCATCCCAGCGCCCAGAGTCAGCCTAATTAACAGCAAAATGAGAACACACCTGGCCATCCACCCACACTGCAGAGGGGACAGCCAGGAGGACACAAAGGGGTGCCTGGAAGGGCAGAAGGCTTGAGTAAATTCCCAGTTCCTCCAGGAATGGGGCCTGAGAGAGCAGGGAGGGCGTGAGGTGCCTTTCCCCACAGACCAAATGGGCTCTGAGGAGAGAGGGCGGCAGAGGATGGGGATTCCACACCCCGATCCGAAGCCAGCACTGGGAAGCAGAGACAAAGACCCTGTGTTCCCAAACAGCAGCGAGGGGCAGGAATCCATCTGCAGCATCTGTGTGGAGCTGGCACAGAGACAACGGGATGCAGCCTGGGCTCGAGTGAGCCCACGCACCAGCCGCCGGTGAGGCTTCCCCAATAGATTGCCATTACAGGAGATAAATGCTCTGCCATCCTGCCAGAGCAGTCTGCTTCCAGCTGCTGCTCCTCCATGGAGATCACCCTTGCTGCTCCTGGGAGTGGGAGCTGCTCCCCACAGGGATAAAGGGACAGATCCAGGCCAAGTGACAGCCAAGACACCCAAGGGTGCTCCCCAACACCGGGACAGGGGGTGCAGGCTCACAGACCCCCCTCTCTCGCCCCACAGAGGAGTCAGGGGGTGCAGGGGAGCAGGACCCCCAGGAGCACCGAGCCAGGGCTGCCCTCACCTGTAGATGATGCAGGCGCAGTCCCGGCAGGTCCCGCAGTTGGCGATGTCCTGCCCGGTCCGGTACGAGTGTCGCCTGTGACAGAATGTGCCATGAGCCCAGAGACCCGGCCTGGGGCTGCCCGTGCCCCCCGCTGCCCCCAGCCCCTCATCTGCCTCTGAGCTCCTACCCCGGGAGCCAGGACTCTCCTCCCTGGATCCCAGTCCCTCTCCTCCAGGCCAAGGGTGGTTTCTCTCAGCTTCACAGATTTCTCTGATGGGAACAAACCAGAGTCGGGCCCAGCAGCAGTCCCAAACCCTTCCCGCTGTCTGTGCCCTCCCATTCCCATTCCCACCTTCATCCCAGGGGTCCCCACGCCCGCAGCCCCCGGGTGACCCCACCCGTCCCCACACACAGTGGCACAGGGGCAGCGCTGTGTCTGTGTGGGAGCACAGGCACACGGCAGTGCCCTGGCAGATGGGCACAGGAGATGCTCCAGACTAATCTCCAGCCTACGCTAGACTTGGAATTTCTCTCTTCTTGATGCCTTTGTACCAGAGCATCCTCCTCCCCCTCCGGGAAGGTGCACAGGACTCGGATTAAGCTGATGCGTGCCCAAGCTCAGCTCATGCTGCCACATCCTCCTGCCACTCCACAGGAGGAGTCTGCACCCTCCATGTCTCTGCTGCTGGTGCCAGACCCCATCCCTGAGGCACCCTAATCCCAGGGGCTGTGCCGGGGACCCCCTGCACCCCAGCACTGCTGGTGGGTGCTTCCTGCTGCTCCCTGGCTCCCTCTGCTCTCAGAACTGTAAGAAACAGCCCCTGTGAAATATTGTTGGTCCCTTTGGGACCCTGCCTCTGTGTCTCCATTGTCCCCTCAGGGCTGTGGAAGGGGGGACAGCTGAGAGAACACCCCCATGTCCTACATAGATGTCACATTTTCCCATTGAAATCTTCCTCCTGTTACTTGACCTTGACCACGGTTGTTCTCAGCCCTCGGAAACTGGGTCTGTTAATGCACCAAATTATACATTGCAATGGGGATTATTCTATCAGCACCCAAATTAGATCATGAGGCCTTTTATATATATATATATATATATATATATATATATGGTATGTATGTGTGTGTGTGCCTGCGGCTCTGACGTTTACAACAGCACCTCTCTGCTGGGAGAGCTCACCCTGGGATGGTGTTTGGTGTGTAAATATATATGGGGGGGGGGTGTGTGTGTGTGTGTGCCCATGGGTACCTCTGCCAGGACGGTTCACTCTGGGATGCTGTTTGGTGCAGGATGTTGCCAGCAGTCGGTGCCTGGGCTTGGCCAGGCTGTGTCAGGGCTGGTGGCCCCACTCTAGAGCACAGTAGGCACCTGGGATCTGACCCGTAGCAAATGAGGCCGTGCTGTTCCACAGCATAAGGACACCAGGATAACGTTTTATGTGATTTCCTGTCCCGTTCTGTGTGCCTCTGGGTATCTTGTTTGCTCACTGCACTGTAACAGCACATGGAGCCAAGGCCTCAATTAAGCTGTCCTGGCTGCACCTGCCTCAGTGGGTGCCAGACTGAGACCCCCAGGGGTCCCTCCCCACTGGCAGTGCTCCAGGGGTGGCACAGAGACGGCATTCCCTGCACTCCACTCACACCCAACACTGGCTTAATCCGATTGAACAAACGGATCTCTGTGCTGCCCCAGTGGGAGCTGACAATCTTGGGCATCAGGAACAAGCCCCAGAGGTTTTACAGGAGGGTGCCAGGACTGGCACCTCTTGGGAGGTTGGTTGCCCTTGTGTGAGATGAGTTTGGAGGGTCTCAGCTGGGGACCATCATGGACTGACCACCTTGTGCCGTTTGGCAAATCTGCCTGGGAGGCCAAGGAATGCTGGCCCGGGGGAGACCTTGCCCAAGAAAGCAGATCCTGGGCAGGCCAGATGGGGGTGCTGGGCACCTCCCCTGCACACAGACACACCCATCACGAGGGCACCGGCCACTGGATTTGTGCTGAAGGTACCTCCATGGAGAGGCTGGGAGTAGGTGAGAGCTCAGGTATGGCAGGGACACGGTCCCCTCTGAGCCAGCCCTTGGGATGTGACATCCCAGCTCCCTGTTCCCAGTGACCAATGGGCAACTCAGCTGCACCGGATCTGGGCAGGGGTCCAGCACCCCCTCGTCCCCCAGGCCTGCACCCCCTGCACCCATCCTTGGGCACGGGGAGGGCCCCGCAGGCACGAGCAGGACACGCTGGGGAGGGTGAAACCTCGCACTGAGACACGGGGCCGTGTGTGCGTGGACAGCAGCTCTTTGAGTTTCTCAGAGGGAAACACGTCCAGGAGGCGGCAGCGCCCAAATCTGGCAACGTCCCCTGTTCTCCATCCCCAGCCCCCCAGGGACATTGTCTCCCCAGCCCCTCGCTCCATCCCCGCCCGCTCACCCGTCCCGCTGCGCCTCCTTCTTCTCCAGGTCCTGGATGACATCCAGCAGCACCCTGATGGTTTGTTGGCTGGTCTCCAGCACCCCTTCCAGGGACTGCAGCTGGGAATGCAGGTCTCCCTGCTCCCCGGGCCGCCAGGGGCCCTCTCCCTGAGTTGTCTGGGCGTCCTCGTCCCTCGCTGGTGGTCCCACCGGTGCCTTGGCCACCACCACCAGCTGCAGTAGGTCCTGGACACGGTGCAGTGTCTCCGGTTGCTCAGCAGCGAGGGGGGGCTGCCCGTGCTGGGGGGGCTCTGGTGCCCACCCGGCCGCTTGTGCCCCCGTGCTGGGGCCCTGTGGGATTGGGGGCAGCGGCTCCCCGTGTCCCTCGGGTCCTGCCCGGCCATGCCCGGGCTCGGCAGCGTGGAGCCGGCTGCAGGTGCTGAGCACAGCTGGTGTCTTCTCCGGCGCCGCGGCGGCAGCAGAGCTGTGCCAGCCCGGCACTGGTGGGACAGGGGCTGGCGAGGCGCAGCAGGGCCCCCCCCATGGCGAGCCGCAGAGCTGGTGGTGGGGCGGGGGGGGGTCCCGCGGGGGGTTGCCCTGAGGTGGCTGGCGCAGGCCGTGGGTGTCCGTGGCGGGGCCGGGCTGCCGGCGGTGCGGGGAGGGCTGGGCTGGAGGGCGGCCGCAGGGCAGGGTCCGCTCCGAGTCGCTCCGGCCGAGCCCCCGCTGCTCAGCGGGAGGTCGGGGCTGGCCACAGGGCACGGAGGCCGGGCGTGGGGTGACCCCGTGGCCACCCCGTGGGCTCCCGCGGAGCTGGGCACAGGCGGGGGGCGGCGGGCAGGGCTCGGGGGCGCAGCGGGCAGCGGGGCACCCGGCTGTGCCGCGGTAAGGGGGAGGGGGGTCCCTGGGCGGTGGCAGTGGTAGGGGGCACACCGTGGCGTGCTGGCCGAGAGCCACGGTGCGGTCATGTGCGGGGAGGCTGCCGGGGGCCCGCGGGGGCACAGCCCAGCTGGTCGTGGTGGGCACGGCCACCCCAGGGCATCGGGCGCTCGCCACGGCGGGCAGTACCGCGTCCCCCGCCACATCGCAGACGCTCCTGCTGCGGGGCTGGGGAGCTGGGAAGGGCTTCTGGAGGCTGGGGGAGGTCTGGATGGCCGTGCTCATGCACGCCTTCCTGGGCATGGGCAGCGTCAGCGAGCCCGGCTGTGCCTGGGGCCAGCTGCGCCGCGAGGCACGGAGAGCCGCCGGCTCAGGGGCGTCCCTGGGGGGCGGCGAGGCACGTGGGGTGTTGGGGCCGGGGGTGGCCGCGGGCCCGGGCGGGGGGCTGCCCGCCTGCCCTGAGCCGCCCTCCACCAGGTCCTTGAAGCGGACCTGCTGCGTGCGGTTGCGCCGGCGCTTGAGGCGGCTCTCGATGTCGGGCGAGTCGCGGTTGAGCAGCACCGAGCGCACCGTCATGGCTTTCTCCTGGCTGCCCTCGCCGGCGGGGGCCGGGCCAGGCACGGGCTCACGGCTGACCATGGCTCGGGGCCGCGGGGCCGGGGGGCTGCGGGGGGGGCGCGGGGGGCCGAGCGCCGATGGCCGGAGCCCTGGGCTACAGCCGTCCCCAGAGCTGTCGGAGCAGTGGGCAGCCTCATCCCGCGCTGCCACAGACAGGGGAATCTGGGCGGGAGGCGGGCGAGGGGCCGCGGGGCATGCTGCCCACCGCCCGGCCCTACAGCCCCCGGCACGCCGCCCCGACAGCCCTGCCCGGCACCGCAGCTCCCCGCCGGCGCCCGCAGCCCATCGTCCCGCTGCGGCTGCCCGGGCTCAGGGCCGCCCGCGTCGGGCCCGGTGCCGGCCGTGCCTGCCCATGGCTCCTGGGCTCTGGACCTGCGGGGACAGAGAGAGGTGCGTCAGCCCCGGCCACACCACCACAGCCCCCGAGGGCACGAGTGTCCCCGCAGAGCCGCCAGCCTCTCCCGCCTCAGCTCCCTCCCAGCCCGCCATCACCAAACGCGAAGAGACAGACTTTGATCTGCGGCTCTGCCTCCTCAGCACAAAGGGAGAAGGGAAAAGAAACCCCTTTAGCATAAACACGTTCCGAGTTCACAGCTCAAATCAAGCAGAAGCGGCTGTTAAAAATAGCTCTGCCTCGCCGGGGCTGGTGCCTCGTGCGAGGGGGGCAGTGCGAGGGCAGGCACAGGACAGGGTGGGGGGCACGGGGCTCCCGTGAGGGACGGACAGACAGACACGGGGCACCTACTGCACATGGGACACCCGCCACACACGGGCACCAGCTCTGCACGGGCTGGAAAGGGCGTGGGGCACCTGTCCAGCATGTGACGTGGCTGGAGTGGGCACGGGGCATCCTGCACTGGGCTTGGCCAGACTGGCACAGGGGACCCGTCGTGTGTGGGGAGTGGCCAGATGGGCACAGGGACCTGTCACGTGTGGAGCATGGCCAGATGGGCACCGGTGGTGCTGGCTGGGCTGCAGGTGTGGGGGGCCAGCTCCGTGGGCAGGGGTGAGACTGCGGCTCGGGGAAACTGAGCCACTTCAGGCATGTGAGAATCAGCAGGAGAGAGAACCTTCGGTGAGACTGTGGAATATCCCCGACACCAGCGTTGCTTCCCAGGCAGCACAGGGTCAGGAGCTGGGGGCACAGCAGGGATACCTAACCATATCCCCATCCCTGCCATCCTTCCTGCACAGCTCTGCAGGGCTCCTGCCAGGCAAACCCCTTGGCAGCCCCGTCCCGATGTACCCCCAGCACCCAGCCCCATGCCCAGCTGGCTCTGCCTCTGCCCCCCGGGTCACCTGCAGCTGCCCCAGCCCATCACACTGCCTGGGCACACGGAGCACAGGGCACACGGGGAGCCCTGCTGGGGTGTCCCAGGGTGCAGGGGAGGCCGATGGCTCATTTCAGGACACAATGCCAGGGAGAGGGTGGGAGAGACAGAGATGTCAGCCCTGGTGCGCGGTAGTTCAGCCTCACCACACCATGTCCCATGTCCCATGTCCCACGTCCCACGTCCCTGTGGTCCCCAGCCCAGACCACAGGTTGCTGCTCCCCCGGGGCCCTCACGCCCTCCCAGTACAATAAGGCAGGAGCCTCGCTGGCTCCAGAGCCCCTCTGTCCTCACTGCAGGTGGACACACGGCACAGCCACCCCTTGGCCCCCTCCCCGTCTTGCCTTGTTCCCGCTGGCACAAAGCGCTGACTCAGCACAGCAGCCGGGAGTCCCCAGCGCTGGAACAACCAAACTTCCCAGTGCTGCACGCGCCAGTGCCCAGTGCCTGCCCAGGCCCACGGTGAGCACTGACCCAGCAGAGCAGGGAGCTCACACAGCCCTCCTTGCCCCCACCCCGGCCCCGCACGCCCCGGTGCCTCCGCACACCCGCCCCGCGCTCGTCGGGATGCTGCTCCACACGCCGCCCAGCCGCCCGGCGCTTCCCCTCCCGAGCCTGGAGCCGTGCCCAGACACCCGGAGATGTCTGCGAGGCAGGACGCGACGAGGGATGGGACGGGGCCCTTCGTTAGTATGGGCAGCGTCAGGCAGAGCAGTGAGCTGGCCGGGGCTGGAGCCAGCGGCACCCGCCTCGTGTCCCGCATTGCCACAGCCCCGCCCGGCCCGGGGCACGGGCACCCACCCCATGGCCGCGGTGTGAGCCACCCCCCGAGGCCCTGCCCGCAGGGTCACCTCTCCCCCTTGTGCCACAGAGGGGGCCCATGCCCTGGGACGGGTGCCCCATGCCCAGGTCCTCGGCAGCATCCTCAGCTGTGGCTGTGCCAGGGAGGGCAACATGCCCAGTGGGCACATCTCTGTGCCAGAGCCGAGCCTGCCTGTGGTCAGCCTGCTTCAGAGGGTTCCTTAATGGGAGCACTAACCAGCACGGGGCAGAGGGTGCTGGGAGCAGCACCAAGGGCCGGGCACAGGGCAGGAGCACCACTGGCACGGTCCGAACGCGGGACCAGCCCTGTGATCCTGCGGCGGGCACCTCGCCGAGCCACGGCTGACGCAGCGTGGGACAAGGCTGATCCCCCGCCGATGCAGCAGACGCGGCACTGTCAGTCAGTGAGGAGCCCCCTCGGCCTCCCAAACCGCTGGGAGATCAGAGACAAGGCACAAGGACAAAGGGAAGCCTATAAATTATACATGGAGCAACTCCGTTTGGGAACAGCTCCGAGGATGTCAACCACCCACGCCAGGACCCTCCCACACGTCCCTGCGTTTGCTCTGTGCTGTGGTTGGATTTAGAGCTGTGCTCGGGCACTGTTTGCAGACACCGGTGTCTCCGAGCACGGATAATGAGCCCCCTGTAACCTGGCTCTGCCCTCTCTGATGGGACCCCCCAGACTGCCGCCGAATCCGAGGAACCCCCTGTGCTGATGGTCCCAGGGACACCTTGGATGCACCCAGCACCCAGCTGCACTGGCACTTCCCAGCTGCTCTTCAAGCTTCATATACGGGGAAATGGTGCTCAACGCCCCAATCCTGGGGCCCACCGGAGCCCCTCCAAGGTCCAAAGCCCACCACAGCTCCTTCCAGGGTCCAGTCCAAGAGGACCCCAAGGCTGTGGTCACTCCTCTCCAGAAGAGACCAAAGCCAGAGCCCCGCTGGGCTCTGTGTCTGTGGGACAGGGGATGTTGGGGACCCCCTGGGGTGGTCAGTGGAGAGTGACCCTGGGAGAGCCCAGTGCAAGGGATGTGGAGAAGCAGAGCCCTGGCATGGGGGTCCAGGGAATGTGGGTGGGCTGGCACTGGCCAGGGAATGGGCTCGGGGCTTGACTGATCCCCTCTGAAGGACGGCAGCGTGCGGGGCTGCGGAGAACACGGCTCATCAAACCCATTTGCTGCTGGGCTTGACGAGGTTCCAAGTTTGGTCAGTGGAGGTAAAAGCCTCGGCGGAGCAGACTCGGATTTCTGTGAGGCATTTGACATTTCGACGAAGAAAGCAGGATAATCCCAAAGCAATGTGACACACATTAAATGGATTAGAACCAGCTAACCAGCACGTCTCCACTCGTAACCATCCCACAACCATCACCCATAGCTGGACTCTGCCCCAGCACCACAGAGGGGCAGCGGCCCAGGGCACTGTTTGCTCCTGACCACAGAGGGAAACTGAGGAAATGGGAGAAAATGAAGTGCAAGGAAGAAAAAAGGCCAACACAAAGGCAGGCGATAGGCGTGGGGCCGAGGCTGCTCATGGCAGCTGGAAACACGGGTTGACGAGCTGCAGGAGCAACTTCCTTAAAAAGTGAGGCCAGCTGGTGCAGGAGCAGCTTGGAAAGGGTTCACACAGTGGTGGATCCTCCATCTCAGCAATTTTTTAGATCTGAGTGGTTTTTCTCCTCTGGTTCCTATGGCAATTCCAGGCTCATGGATAAGGTGGGACAGCAGGTCACATTGGTGGTGTCCAGGTAAACCCAGGTGATTCTCCTGTAATGCAACAGAGGACATGAGTCCTGCAGCAGTGGGTTCTGCTGGATGCTCAGCGCAGCTGGGAAGGATGCCTGCTCCTCTGAGTGAGCCCAGGAGCTGAGGAAGCGTCGGGAACCTCTTCCCATGGACACCACTGAGCAGCGCCCACAAAGATTGAGCACCCTCCTGGTGAGCAGCACCAGAGCTCCGAACCATGTGCCAGCCCAGCTCCCTCCCCAGCCCAGAGCCCTTTGCCACGGACGTGCTGTGCCATGTTGGATGGTGGGATGCCACACCTCGTCCTGCATCACCTGCCCACCAGCCTCCAAAGGGCTCGGGAATCTCCCCCGGGAGAGCCCCAGCACTGGGTTCCTCTGGCCAGCACTGACTGATGGTGAATTTTGTGAGTGAGAGGGACTAAACCTGCTGGGTTTGCATCGTGGGACTCATCTCGCATGGTGCAGGGCTGCCCTCAGAGGACAGAGCCCTGCTTCACACTGCCCTGTACAGAAAGTTACCTGCCAGCTTTGGCCCTTTCCCCACCCATCCTCCTCCTCGTCCTCCTAGTAATGCCTGTGGCAGAGGGAAAACCGGAACAGACACATAAATCTTCTCGGGATGCAAGAGGACGGGAGATGAGATTTATGAAGGAGGAAGTCAGATTCTCCTGGAACTGCAGAGGAGAGCAGCAAATGACCTGGCTCCACTCATGAGGTAACAGCTTCTGTGGGGCAACACTTGTGATTTTTCTGATCTCCAGAGAAGAGAGAGGTGCTGCTGGCGATGGAGAGGGGCAGCACTGGAGGATGAGGCACTGGAGGGGCAGAAGCCAGGCTCGTGACACATCACTCCACAGCAGAGCCTAATCCTGCCTTGGCTCTGGGAGGACTCGAGGCGTTTGTACTCAGATCAGAGCATCTCTGGGACTCGAGGACGGAGGACTCAGAGCAGCTCCTCAGGCAACTTGCACACCCAAAATCCGGTTCCTCGCTGAGGAAGCTCCACCACGAAGGCAGCTCGTGCCCTGCCCTCACGGTTCTCTTGGAGGCTCTTCCAGAACCCAGCTGCTCAGAGCCTCACAGACCTTCTCATTTCCTGCAGGCACTTAATCATGGCCCGTTTATATCCGACTGTACTTGTGCCAATGGAGCGCTTCTGCTCGAGCAGCTCTTCTCCCTCCTCAGCACTCAGCCCTTGTGGTCCCCAGCGAGGAAATGTCCCTTCTTCAGCCACAGCCCCAGTGCTCTGCGGGTCCAGCCCTGTTCATGTCCCCAAGCCCAGCTCCCCATGTCCCCAGTGGTCCTCACAGCACCCGATCCCTCCCTCCAGGGAGCGCTCAGGGCGCTGCTCAAACA